TCTCTTTCTTTCTCTCTTTCTCCTTTTCTTTCTCTCCCCCTCCCACCCTCCCTTCCTATCATTCAGTAGTTTTTGAGCATCTATTTCTCCCTAGAGAGAAACAAAAAGACTCAGTTCCCTGACCTAAAGGCGTTCCAAGGCACAGACACCAAGAGTTCTCACTCTGGAATCACACTCTGGGTTCAAATCCCACTTCCGCCAGCCTTGTGACCTGTGAAAGGAAGTTGACCTCTCTAAGCATCAGCTAATCCATAAAATGGGGATAATAACAGTCCTAACCTCACTGTTCCTTGCATACAGTAGTCAATAAATAGAGCTGTTATTAGTATTATTATTTTCAATAACCTATTAAAAGTCGTGGGACTAGAAGACAGAAAGAACAGAGCACTGTAGGCCAATGGTAATCACAACTAGATCCTTTCATCAGTCTTTTGGTAGTCTTTTATCAGCTTCTTTTCATTTATGTTGATGGAGAAAAATTTGTTCAATTTTCTAAGGCCAAATTCACTTCCTTTTCTGGTCAATTTCCATAGGTTTTATATCAATTGAGGGCTTCGACTTGGCTTCCCACAATACTTTCTCATGACTTGGGAGAAGCACGTCAGGGTACCAAAGAGTCCCTGTAGGTATGACAGGAGACTGAGTGAGAAGATGAGGGTCAGCCTTCCAGGGTGGAGCATCCCAGGGAGTACAGGGGCAGAGCCCAGGCCCACAGGCGAGTGCTTCAGTCCTGAGCAGGAAGCACCGTGTGAGTCTGGCTTGTAAGGGCTGTATCTAGCATATCTAGTAAGTGTATTTTGCAAGTATGTGGGGAATAAAGGTCCAGGGATGATGGAAAAAATGGAATCTCCTCCGGCCTCCCAAGGCTGGAAATCCAGATTTTCATAAGAAATCTCCTAATATTTGTTATTATTATTATTATTTTAAATGGAGGTACTGGGGTTGAACCCAGGACCTCGTGCATGCTAAGCATACATTCTACCAGTGAAATACCTTCCCCCTAGAAATCTCCTAATATTTTAATGTTAGCAACTAATTTTAAAAAATTAAAAGAAAACAAGTGTAGAGGCAGGTTCAACCCACTGAGCCACGAGCTTGGCCTCTGAGAGTGTTCAGTGTTCCCGGCGTGGACAGCCTCCCAGGTCTACGCAGGTCTCTGGAAGCCACACAGCTGGTTGTAGGAGCAACAGAACTAGAACCAAATCGCGCTGACAAAGCCCCAGTGATTTTGCCGTTAAAGGCTGAATTCAAGCATTCGCTTCTCTAACAGTCTAAGTCCCCTAGTGGCCAGTTTCCTGCATCAGGGACTATCACTTCTGTGAACTCTGTTTTGCAGTCACTCGGGGAAACTACTGCAAAGAGGGGAAGTGAGGAGACAGACTGTGTAGGTTTTGTCTGGTTTGGGGTTTTGCTTGTTCTTTAGTTGGAGTGCTTTTCAAAAACTATTTTTCTCTCTCCTTTTTCATTCTAGCTTTCCTTTGGTAAGCGCCAAGTTCCCAAACTGCAGAAACCAACTCTGTCAGGGGACACCCACACCCTGGACCTGTCCCTGAAGACCAACTCTCCTTTGTGCAAGGATCTGCCTTCAGCTAAGAGTCCGCTTGAAACAGCCTGATAAACTCACTTCAAGTGTTAACAGTGGCCGGAGGTCTAAGAACAGCACCAGCACTGCAGTTAGCTGCTCCCTCCGGGGGAGGATACATGCGGCTCTTTCACTTCTTTAATTTTCCTTCTCCAGAAGTGCGGGACCCTCAGCGGGTGGTCTGGGGAGGGAGAGAGGGCCCTGACCACTATGGACACCCACGTTTCCTCTTGATCAGTGAGGGGTGGCTACTTTGTCATTTCCAAGTTTAAGATGCCAAAAGTTTAGTGAGAGTCATTTTTGGAACAGTGGGCAGGAAATATGCTATTACAATGAGCCGACTGTCAGCCCCAAGGTTGTGACAGTGACTAATAAGCTCCTTCCCAGATAGTGTTTTAGGAATTATGTTTAATTACTGTATAAAAGGAATCATCTAAACTATTAAACAATATTCAGTCCTGCCCAAGTCAAGAATCAGCCATCAGCAGTGAGCAGACTTCCCAGCTACGAGCAGTCACCTAGAAGAGGATGACCAAATCCTGCACATTCCTTCTCCAAGCTGCTGATCCAATAATGAGCACGACCAAAAGTAGTATCTTCATGGCTATTCCACTTTATCCTCTGTGCCTATTGTAATTCCTAGAAATATTTGTGGAATGCACTGTTGAGTTCTTAATGTTTACCACATTGTACTTATTAAACCACCTTGGAGACAGTTTCAGTCATCTTTTCTGCTGACATCCTGTGGGATTTGACCTTTTAATCCAAGGATGCTAGCACAGCAAGGGGACTTTAGGGTTAGGTGAGTTAACCTATTTGTTTTACTAGGAGAACAACAGAGAGGGATGGTAACTTTACTGAGGTCACACAGCCCTAAAGAGCTAGGCTACACCTAACTAGGATGGACACCATCACTTAGTGAAAGAGCAGCCTAAAGGACACACCATACTATGGGAGTAGATTTTCGTGAGTGGGAAAGCATCAGAAAAGACACTGCAGTGGTGTGTGCAGAAGTCCTTTGCAGCCTCTTAGTTCTAGCAGTAGGCTGCTCAAAGGGGCATTCTAAGCGACTTGGCACTGCCAGAACTCAGATCTAGAAATAGCCAGCGCTAATGTTAAAGTCCACTCTTCCTTGTGGTTGTCCATTCTGAAAACCCTAAGGAATAATTGATCTGTTATTTTTCTGCACTCCCGTGAGACAGGCCCTTCTTTGTAATAATGAAGTTAAAATCTAGGGTGAACATTATAACTTAAAGCCAGGAACCTAAGATTCAAAAGGATCTTGTCTTTTTGTCCAAAAATTTAAAAAAAATTACTATCTCTTCATGTGCTTCCTTGTGGGGGCACCAGATGATCAGGGCAAGTAAAACTGAAGGAGTTTGGTCTTTCAAGGCACTTTTGATTTTAGTGTGAAGGAGGGAATTTTCCATAGAATTTCACCAATCAGTTTGCTTGGTGAAGAGAGGTGGAAGGCCTGGAGAAATTAAAAGTCCTTCAGAAGGAGACATTAAGGAGAGGAAGTCTGTGAAGAAAAGAAGACAAATTGTAATACCCACTGAGAACCTGGTCTGATCTGCTCGGAGCCACTTTCTCCTGGCCCTTGTCTTGCTCACTCAGTCTATATGAAAATGGGCAGAGGATGCTGACATGGTTTCCACAGATGTAATTACCTTCATACCCTAAGCCAGCTCATAATGGCAGGTCTGATACTCATCAACAAACTCACCCCTGAGCTTCCTGGTGCCCACACCTACCTGTGGGAGAAGAATTTCACTACCCGTCATGAGAAAAGGCATGTACCCCCACACATCATTCTGCCCAGCTTAGCTCAGTGGCGTCCACAACCGCCAAGCACACCCCATGGACCCAGTTCAGGAGGGGCTGTGTGGCTGCCAGGCTGTGGCTGGAAGTGAGGAGACTGGGCGGGGGCTGCCTGGATCCAGGCCATGCAGGTCCAGCTGGATCAGCCATCCCCACACTTGGAGGACCCAAGTGGTCATCCACGCTCTGCTTATAGACCCACTGTGCCCTGCCCCCTTGGGAGAAGGGACCAGGGCCCTCCCCACGCTGCCTCATCTTTGGCAGGACCTCTGAGCAGGGAGACTAGACCCCCACAGATGGAGGCCAGCCTTCCGGATGTCTCAGGAGACATTCTACTGTATCTGCAAAATCTGGCCCTGCATCTTCAAAGGGAAGCCGCCCACGTGAAATTGCCTCTCTCCGCATCTCAGAAAGCAGCCGTTGGACCGCGTCAGCTGGCCTCCCAGTGCCTCTGATTGCGTGGGCAGATCTAGGGCTGGGTGTGCCTTCCACGACATGGGAGATGCCATCTGTGCTACCTTTCGGGAACTCCAGAAAACGTAGCCTGACCTGGGGAGGTCATGGAGAGATTCCAATGTGTGCTGGAGGCACACGTAAAAGAACTATCTAAGCGGCTGTCAGTACCTTTCAGTAATTCTTCATGTCATGCCGGTCCTGGCCTTCACTGCAGCCTCAGCTGTCAGGGATGCAGCCATTATTCCCAAGTGTTGAAGGCAAGTCAGCTTTGCCACAGGTGGGATGCAGGCACTCTCTTACTCCCTGTCCAAAAAGAAATCGGGAGGGCGGAATGTGCATCAGTGGCTGACAGCCCCTACCACCAACCCACCACCCCCGAGGAGCTGTGTTTCAGTGAGTGCTCGTGGCTGTCTGGGGTGCTGTGGAGCAGGGCTTCTGGCAGATGAGAGGCCAGTGGCAGTGTGTCCAGGGTAAGGGGCTGGGGAACAGAGTGCTTCTGTGAGGCGGTCACCGGCCGCTGCTGGCCCCACAGTCTCTGTACAGACTGAGGCGAGGTCCTCTGCCCAGAGCTGGACCACAGCCTCCACCCTCGCTTGGGCACAGAGCAGAACTAGCGGCAGGGCGGCCAGGGATGGGACACGAAGGCTGCTGGGGTTCCAGGCAAGTGGAGTTACCGGTCGTTACCTGGCATTCCAGGCCTGGTCGACTTGGGGTGATGACTGTCCATCCTGCTTTTGCACTTGAACTTCTCCAGGCCTTCTTTCTTCTTTCCGTGTTGACCCTCCCTTCTCCATTCCTGAGAACAAAGCACTGCTGTTGGTGTTTGTAATGCTCCAAGGTGCTGTATCTTTTTATAAAGCACTTGGAGAGTGCATGCAGGCTGGTCATTCCCAGCAGAAGGGGAACAAACTGCACTGTCACAGGAACCTGTATGCAACTGCTACATGCTTGTGGCTGCTTTAGCGCCCAAGCAGTTAACAGTGACTGATCTACTCATCGGTTGGTCCTATAATCGGGAAGAACGAATCTGACTCCATATAGCATCTGTTACTTTTACTTTAGCCTTCATATTCTATTGCTTTTGCTACTAGTTCATCACTGAAGGGATGTTGCCTATAAGCTTAAGGTATACATAATGGCCCATCTCTGGGAGCCCTGCCTCCCAGGTAATGAGCGTTAAAGATAAAACACCTTTGTTCAGCTCACAGGAACCATCCGGACCACCGGGGAATGGCTGCAGGAATGGAGAAAAGAACACCTCCCCTCCAGAGTCTGACGGGAACCAGGAAATCTTTGACGCTATTCCCTCCTCTCACAGTATAAAAGCAGCATGAATTCTAACTCAGGCAAGATGCTTCTTTGAGACACTAGCCCACCATCATCTCAGTCTGCTGGCTTTCCGAATAAAGTCATTATTCCTTACCCCAACAACTTGTCCCTTGATTTACTGACTGTGCAGCTAACAGTACAAGCCTAGACTTGGTAACAGTCTACTTTAAATTTCCCGAGGGCTGCTTTTGTCACCCATAAAGGTATAAACATATACGTATATATACACACACACACTTGCACTTGTACACACACACCTGCCCTCCTCTGAACCAACTCTGTTCAAATAATAATCTATATTAGTTTCCTATGGCTGCTGGAACAAATTGTCATAAACTTAGTGACTTAAAAACGTCACAAATTTATTATCTTACAGTTCTGGAGGTCAGATGTCTGAGATCAGTCTCAGTGTGCTACTGTCAATACACAGGCAGGGCTCTGCTCCCTCCCAAGGCTCTAGCGGAGCATTTGTTCCTCGCCTTCTCTGGTGTTTGGACACCACCTGCATTCCTCAGCTCGTGGCCTTTTCTCCATCTTCAAAACCAGCTGCAAAGCATCTTCCCTCCTTTTTGACCTCTGCTTCTGTTGTCCCATCCCCTCTCCAACCCGCTACTCTTGAGTTCTGAAGTCTGTTCCACCTCTGACAGTCAACGAGTCCGTGCTCCCAAGCTCAGCTGAAGTGCGTCACACCTGGAAGAGGTTACAGGTATGCTGAAGCTGCCCAGGAACCCTCCAGGCCATGGGGCCGTTCTCTCACCCTCTCCTTCCCCGTGAGTGCAAATACTCTTCAGATCATTCATTCACTAAACAGTTTATGAGCCTGCTGTGTACTTGGAAGTAGGTATACAACGATGAAAGAGACGTTCCTTGCCTTCAAGAATTCCAGTGGGGGAAAAGGTTGAGCAGAGGTAAAGCTAAGACACAGTAAGAGCCATTGTGATAAGAACTGGCGTGCGGCTGATGAGAAGGGAAGCCTCAAATTGAGTAGACACGTAAGAGGTGACCCTGAGCTGAGTGGTGAAGGACAGACAGCATCGTGGCAGGAGCTCCCAGAAGTGGGGCCTGCAGAAGGCACAGGGATGACACGGTGTGGTCGCTTGGGAGATCTGCAGGCTGGAGGCCAGGGTGAGGGGGGAGTGTGAGACTGCAGAGGCTGGCTGGGGCAGCGTGCCAAGCTGAGAAGGTTGAACCTCTCCCTAAAAGCTATGAATGAAAAATGCTGCCTGCCGTTTTAGTAAACAAAGGATGGTGCGGCCATAAAGCCATCACGTTGCAGCTGCCCAGACAGTATGCCCTGAGGGAACTCAGGATGGAAACAGGATGCCCACCATCAAGCCCTCAGCCACTGCAGCCACCCTTAATGGTGCACCCTGAGTGCAAGGTGGCCTAGAGGTGACCCTAGGAGGGCCACCCCATCATGGACATCACCAGCAGTGTCCTAAAGAATGGCTGCTGCCTCCTGGTGCTGGCTGTGTCTTGGACCATCTGGACCAGGACTCCCATGTGGGGACTGTTCTGGTCTTGGTGGCACTACAGCCGGGCAGCTGATTCCCAGGGCAGTTGGCACACCTGTGCTGTGCGGTATCACGGCAGCAAGTCTGCGGGTCTGGCTCTGGGCTGGAGCTGGCGCACCTGGCCCACTAGAGGGCGCTGTAGACTCCCCTGAAGCTGGTGGGGCTGGTGATGGAGTTTCTCTCTGAGGCTGGTTTCTGGCTGGAGACTTGCCTCCTCCGGGCTTCTGTTGGAGAAAAGAAAGAGAAATTCTAGCTGTTGTCATCCCGTTCTTTCCGGGCCCTAGTTTCAAGACTAGAAGAGATTCCCATGATGACCCACCATAAAGTACATTTCAGGCAAGAGTCAGTTGGAAGCTAGAGGAAGGATCACTGAGCTGGGGGTCTCCTGACGGCATCAGAGTTAACTGGGCAGTGTCAGCTTCTGTAAATTCCCTTCCTCTGGCTTAGTTTTCTCATCTGTGAAACGTAAGACGTGAAGACGGTCTCCAGCTGTCCTTTCCAGCTTTAACATGCTGGCTCCAACACCTGCCATGAAACCATCTTTTCTTAAATTTTCAGGAGCTGCAGGTCCTTGGAGGGTTTTATTATTTGTGATTTCCTGCTCCACCCAGTCCCACGGCAGCAGGGCTTTGGTGGAGCACATTTGGCCAGTTACCTGCCCCAGTCCCTTGGGCACCCTGGCTAATCGCTGTCTCAGCTGTCTTGTTGGGCTGGGCTTCAGCAAGGTCACTGGGCAGCTCTAGTACCTCCCCTTCCAGCTTAAACCAATGCTCATCTGCATCTCCACCTCTGGTTCTGGAGCTTCTGCTGCTCCTGGGAGAGCGCCCTGCCCTTCTGGCCCATCTTTCTGCTAATGACTTTTTTTCTTCCCCTGGGTCCACTGGTTGTAGTGATGGAGATCCCAGAGCTAGATCTGCTTTCTGAGGTTGTCTGGGCTGGCACTGATCTTAATCTGCAGCACCCGCTCCATCTCTTTGTAGAAAGGGCAGCCCTGAGGGGCTGGCCCAGAGTGCAGGGTGGCTGTGGTTCTTCTTGTAGACACCATGAGGGCCTTGAACTTGATATGACACCAGCGTGTGTGCCAGACATATCCCTGCACCTGAGGACATCTGGCCATGTCTTCACAGACTGAAGTGTAGAGGTGAACTGTCTTTAGGCCCCTTTTAACGGTGGGTTCCTCCATGATAGCCAGTAGGTGCTAGCTCTCTGCTGGGGCCACTGGACCCCAGATGGAGCCTGTTGTGGTGTCTGGGATTCCTGCTGGCTCCTGGCCTGGGGGTGTGAGGGCTAAAGCCCTCGGTGGAAGGCCTGGACTGGTTCTGTTGAAGAGAAACAGCACCAGACACCCGTTGAAGGCGGCAAGATGGATTTTATTTGGGCTACTGCAGTAGGGAAACGAGACTCCAAAATGAACTAGGCTCAACTCCAACTAAGACAAAGGTGACTGAGGTTTTTAAAGGGAGAACAGAGAGGTAACTCAATGTGGTTATAAGGAAGTGAAAGGTGGGGGACAAAAAGAGGCTAGGGGAAACTATAGGAGCTAAAAAGGGGGCCATGGGGAAATGGAAAATTATAGAAAGGCATGAGCTGACAATGACTGGAAATGGTTTGGCATCGTGGGTTGGGACTAAGTCTATCTTGTGGTTTGGCGCCATTGCCTTTTCTTGAGCAAAGGCAGCACAGGGTCTGAGGTGTCACCTTCAGGGACACAGCCTAGTGCAGGCAGAAGCCAGGCTAAAGTTGGTCAAGTCTCTAGGCACCGTGTCCAGGCAAGTCCTTTGGGCCATGCGGGGGTTTACAGTTCACAATCCCTTCCTGGTACAGTCTCCCCCAGTGGAGCAGTTTGAAGACTGAGGGGCAGTAAGACTGTGATTCCTCCTCTTTCTTTACAATATTCAGTGGGTGATGGGAGGGTCACGGTGGACCACACCTAGGCCAGCTTCACATGAGAGGCCCTGCACTCTGTTTCTACATCTATTTCAGGGAGCGGCTGGAATGGCAGTGAGGGACAATGTTATTGCGGAAAGGCCTCCCAGAGATGCTCCCACTGCTGCAAACTGTAAGCACCAGCTGATTTCTCTTGAAAAGAGAAAACTGTGGCAAAGACCACGGCTGGCTTTAGAAGGCCAGGGCCGGATGTGGGAAGCCTGGCACACAGGGGAGGGCTCCTTGTCACAGCTCCCACAAAGTGAAACAAGTCAGGTTCAAGATTCTGGGGCACTTCTGGGGCCCTCCAGAAAGTCCCCATCTCCAGACACCACCCTTGCCCCCTGACCCCGTCTCTTTTATCTTCCCAACAATGCGCTCTGTGGGCCACCAAGCAGCTGGTTTGCATGTCCCCGCTCCAAGCCGGAGACAGAAAAGGCTTAATGGTTTCAAATTTTGAACGTCTCAAAGAGAAGTTCAAAGGCAGTGAAGCAAAAGGCAAAGGCTTGGAGGGCTTAAAGAAGAGCCAGGGAAATCATTTGCGATCTGAAGTTGTGTGTTCAGCGTGAATGTTCCCAGGCACTGCACCGAGCGCTCAGGGTAACAAGCGGAAGAAGACACGGTCCCGCGGCGGAGACAGAAATGCAAACAGCAACTGCAGTACAATTAAAAGGAGCGCCAATAATGACGTCCAATGAGATGATGCGATCTAGGCTTTACCCCCCCCCCATTAGTCATTATTGTTAGAACTGCTTTTAGAGTCAACCCTTCTTTAGATTTACTTTTCTGTTTACCAGTTTCTTTGCTCACCACTTCTTTATTTTCTTTTGCATCCCATTCCTTACTTCTATATTCAATTTCCTTCTTCTTGAAATGTATCTTTGGGAGTTGACTGTGGGTGGCATTGTGTCCCTCCAAAATTTACATGTTGAAGTCCTAACCCTTAATTTGGCTGTATTTGGAGACAGGGTCTTTAGGAGATAATTATGGTTAAATGAAATCATTAGGGTGGGGCCCTAATCCATTAGGACCTGGCCTTATTAGAAGTGTTAAGACAGAGATCTTTCTTTCTGCACACACTCAAAGGAAAGGCTATGTAAGGATTCGGCAAGAAGGTAGACATCTACAAGCCAGAAAGAGAGCTCTCACTGTGAAACCAAACCCTTCCAGATCTTGATCTGGGACTCCCAGCCTCCAGAACTGTAAGAAATAAATCTCTGTTGTTTAAGCCATTCGGCCTGTGGAATTTTGTTATGGCAGCCCTCGCAGACAAATACAGAGCCCATTCAACAAAGGTCCAGAGTGTTTAATCTTAAAGTATCTTGCCTCTTTAGTAATAGCTTAACAAGGTATAGCTGAAAAACTTGCTGTCAGTCTAAAATGTTTCTCTTTTCTTTTTGGATTGCTTTTAATATTTCCCCCATACTTCTTGGTTTCATTACAGTGTACTTAAGTGAAGATTTAATTTTATATTCTTTGCTTAGGATTCACTGTGATTCTGTATTCTGAGGATTCTTGTCTTTGATCAACTGTGGAAAATTTTTAGTTAGTATTTCTTTTATTTCCTTTATTTTTCTCCATCTGAATTTCCCATTAGATATCATTTCACCTTTTTCATTCTATCACTCATTTCCCTTAACTTCTGTTTGTATTTTTCATTTCCCCCACTCTATTGCATCATGGCAATGTCCTCAGCTCCAACTTGCAGTTTAATAATTCTTTTTTCAAATGTGCCTATTCCGCTTTTAGCCAGTCAATTTATTCTTTCAATAACTGTATTTTTCAATTCTAAAAGTTTGATTAGGTAAAATCTAAAAAACCTCTATTATTTCTCTATTTATTTCAAATATACTGATTTTAGAATCTAACTGAATTTCTCTGGACTTCAGTTGCCTAGATTATGAAATGGGGCTTTACCCTAAATGGCTTCTAAGGTGACTTCCAGCTCTGAAATTCCAGCATACACCCTGATAGTCACTTATTTTTTATAAACATTGTTGACATACTTTGCATTTCCATTAATGAAGGTGGCACTGGAACACAGCAGTGAATGAATAATTATTTTTTAAATTTTTATTTAAAAAAAATAAAGTCAATTTTATGGTTGGAAGTGATCTATGGGTTAGGAAGCTCAGAGACAGTATTTATTATTTTTTAATGGAGGTACTGAGGATTGAACCCAGGACCTCGTGCATGCTAAGCACACACTCTTCCACTCAGCTGTTATTCCCCACCCCCAAGAATAATGACTTCAAAAGCCACCTTCCCCAGACTTCTAGGGCTCTGAGCCAACACCTTCCATTTTCTCATATCCCCTTCCTGTATTAGCACAGAGGGAAACAGGTGGCTAACCAGATGAACACATGCCAGGAAAAATATCCATCTGGGTTTGATTTCAGATCAGAGATAATTTTTGGAGGCTTATCAAAGAGTTCAGTGAAAGGCTGGGGAGAGAGGTAAATACTAAACCTTTCAGCTTCTCAGAGCTTTTTATTTTGATCACTGCAGCACTTAACATATAAAATTAAGAGTGTTAAAGGTTTCTCGACACTCTCTAAAGAGTGGAGGGCTGGAAGAAGGAATGAAGGCTTTACTTCTTTTTATCTGAAGAGTCCCATAGTTGAGCTAGAAGAATATAGGAAGCTACCAGAAGTGAGCTGGGGGTATGAGCTTGGGGGTGGGAAATGGAGAAGGTGATCTTAGTATATTTCTAGAAAGGGCAGGGGAGTGAGCAGTACAACCATTTTTGCAGATTGTATCCCAAGGTAGTTCACAAACATCTTTCAAATTCTGGTCCCATGTTGTTAAATGTTCAGTGAGTGGAGGATGCAGTGAAAGTCAGTCTTCCCAAACCCTGGCCTCTGGTCTGTCAAACTAACTGGGAATGCTGTGGACTGGAACTGGAGGTTTTTAGGCAAACGGCACAGAGCCAGTGAAAATGAACATTCAGCTTACTTCAAAGAGCACTGGCTCTTCCTCCCCACCAACCCCCCCACTAGCTGACCACACGCAGTCATGCTGCTTTGACAATTTATTTTCTCTGCCAAGATCTTTAGAATAAACTTGCTTGAGGCATAATTTATATACACTCTGCTTTATTGAGGTATAGTTTATAAATACTTTGTTTTAAAATTCAACAAAATATAAATTACCTTCCATTTCCATACTGTCCTAACAAAGTTTTGGAACTGAATGTTAAGGGTTGTATTCCTCTCCTGATTCATGGTGTTTTAAGAGACTTGCGTGTCTCTTAAATTTCTTTTTCTGTCTTAACTCAAAGTAATTATTCATTCTAAATAATTATCGTTAGGAATATGCTTTTTGTAAACCCTTATGGCACTGTGTGTGAGGCACATGTATTTATGCTATGTATGTAATTTTTACCCCTTCCCCTGCCTTATCCTGCTTCCTCCCAACTAGCTTTTTAAAAAAAATTTATTAAAAAATTTTTTATTGAAGTATAGTCGGTTTACAATGTTGTGTTTATTTCTGGTGTACAGCACAGTGATTCAGTTATACATATATATTCCTTTTCATATTCTTTTCCATTATAGGCTATTACAAGGTATTGAATATAGTTCCTTGTGCTTTACAGTAGGGCTTTGCTGTTTATCTGTTTTATATACAGTAGTGTGTATCTGCTAATCCCGAACTGCCAATTTATCCCTACACCTCCCACCCTCCTCAACAGCTTTTAGATTTGTCTGTTTTCACTCTCAAATGTCTCATTCTGGTCCTCTTTTTTTCTGTCCCTTCCTTTGAATACCCTTTCCAGGCTCATTTCTTTGTATCTGATTAAAATAGTCCATTCCACACATTCTGCCTAGATTAATCTTCCTGAAGTACAACTTTAATACTGTCTACCACCACCACCACCACCACCACCATCACCACCAATGGTTGACATTTATTGCTTACTATATGCCAGGCACTTTTCTCAGTATTTTACACCTGCTATTACCTCCTGAATACTGAAATCATTCTTTGAACTAGATACTACTTCTAGGCTAATTTTAAAGGTACAGAATGGTTAAATCAGCTGCCTCAGTCACACAACCAGTAAGTAGAGAGGCCAGAAAGAGGACTGAGTTTGCTTGTTTTGGTGCTTGTGGCCCTAGACTACAGCATCAGGAGAAGGTTCTACCTAGTTCACATCACAGAAGCGAACAGATCTGCTTGATCAGGGAAAGCCTGGACCTGTAGGTTATTCCTCGGGCTGCTCTGACTCCTAGAGGGGTAGAGTTTTTGACTTCCAAGATTTTGTGGCCTTTGCATTAATGTCAAAGGGCTATAATGGATTATGGCACTTTCCTGAGGGCCTAAAGTGAGGATTTGTGTTGTGTGTGTTCCAGTTTTTTTTTATTTTTACTTTTATTTATTTATCTTTAAAAGCCGCAGTATACTTGACTTACAATATCATATTAGCTTCAGGTGTACAACATAGTGATCTGATATTTCTATATTTTAGAGGATCATTTATATATTTTTTTATATTTTATCTGATCATTTTACAAAATGATCACCAGGTAAGTCTAGTTATCTGACACCAGACAAAGTTATCTACCATATTATTGACTCTATTACAAATGATGTTATAACTAGTTATTAATCACGGGTCTGAAAAGTTTTGCAACTTATTGATCATTGGTCTGGATAAAGATACATATCATTTAGTAAGTATAAATAACATTTATTACGGGTTTGCATTGTATCTTGGGTACTTTATAGTCCCTGAAGACATGTAAAGATAGTACTACATACACTTTGAAATCTGTTTTTAACCAGCAGCCTGCATATTTTTACCCTGCAAGGAGCCTCCTGAGGTTTTTTTTTTTTTTTTTGGTTTTTTTTTTTAGCTTTGGAGCCAGGTGGAGGTCTTTCAAGGCCTAGGGTGGAGAGAAAAGGGATGCAGAGGGAAAGCAACAATGCAAGCAATAATGGAAACCATGGATGCACTACTTCATCAGGTGACCCTGCTTCTTGACTCTGAATAATTAGAGGCCAACCATTGGCTCAGCTGGACTTTCTATTAGGTACAAATGCCCCTAACTTTTTCCAGCAACGTTCTGATTGATTGCCTTTTTTTTTTCCTTTGGCTTAGTGTTTGTTTTTCTTTTTCTGTCCATTGTCTTTTTTTTTTAAACTTTTTAAATCGAAATGTAGTTGATTTACAATGTTAGTTGTTCTTTTAGAACAGTTTGGAGGAGCAGGGGATAGCAAAGGAAACACACTTTCTCTGCTCAAAGATCTCATGCCCTAACCAAAGGGAGAAACACCGATTAAAGGTCCTAATACCTTTCCCAGCAGACAATAATGACATTAAGGCAAATCAAATCTCTATCCAGAACCATGGCAGGATTAATTCTAAATGGAATTGTCTTTACACAGTTTCCAAATTTGCCATAAGTTCAAAGGAATGCTAGAGTAGGGTAGATTATTAGAGATTTTCTAATTTCCTCACCTTTTATATGAGGAAACTAAAACCCACAGAAACGTGTGTTAGAGTCAAAAGTTTGGCTTTCATTATTTCTGCTCCTTTGGACTTTCCATTGCAAATGATCTGATTTCTTTACTTGTTTGAACTAAGCTTCCTGGTTCTTTTAGGGTTAATTTCAAATTGTTTCCAGAGTGGAGAATATTGTCAGCCTTGCCTTCAATATATTCATAAAATGACAGTTATGAACAAATGATAAAAGCATTCTCAAGTTAATAAGTAATTATATCTTACTATATAATTACAAACAAAATCCTTATTTAGAATTCCTTTTTCTTTTTTTTTTTTTTAGCCTGTTAATATAAACAAAAGCAAGCAGCCAGGTGACAGCCTTCTTTCTTTGACTAGGGGACGATGCATCTGCCCACTAGGATGACACAAAGCATATGGTAATTACAAACTGTATAATAACTAAAAATACATACCCACATACAAATAGATAGCATATATATTTTGTTTAGGCAGATTATACTTAGCATACTTATCAGAGTACAGTGAGTCCTGGAGACCTTCAAACACAATTTAACAACTAGTTGGCCAAAATTTCAGATATAGAATCACCAGGTGTCTAGTCCTGTTCAGTAAAATTAAAAACATATGTGGAGGTAATGGGGCTGCTCCTTATTGTGCACTGGATGGTTACATGGTTGTATACATAATAAAAATTAATTGAGTTGTATAGGTAAGATTTGTGCATTTTAGTGTATATAAATTACACCTCAAAAATAAAACTAAAAAATATAAACAAACCACAAAAGACTATAAAGAACCAAAAAACAAACAAACAAAAAACCTCCTGGGGTATGCAATTGGTCTTTTAATTTCAGATTTGCTATATTTTAATTACTTCTTGATACTCAAAAGAGTGACATGAAACACCTTTTTGGTTTCTTCTTCTGTTTAATTATCTTTCAATAAACCTAAGCTATTTAAAAAGATCTCGCTATCTTCTAATAAGACGAGAAAGACTTTTACCTACCCATCTGTAAGTAGGACTGTGTAGTAACTACATACAGAATTTCCTCTAGCACAAGAGGCCATCTCTGGGAAGAGAGACAGGGAGCGCACATTCCAACAATTCTCCTTTCATGTGCCCCACCACTCCTGCAGTCTGAATACTTCAGACCACGGTATTCAGATAGCAAATGGGTCGCTGAACTAAAGAACCCTTCCCAAAGATGCTATGATTCTATTTTTCCACCCTAGATTCCCTAAATTCACTTTTTTCATGGATGCCACTTGAGGTTGTTCCAAAGAAAAACCATAATTATAATACACCTGATTTGAATATATGTATTTTAATTGTTTAAATTGAAGTATACTCAGTTATAATGTGCCAATTTCTGGTGTACAGCACAATGTCCCAGTCATGCATACGTGTGTGCGTGTGTGTATACATATATTCGTTTCCATGTTCTTTTTCACTAAAGGTTATTACAAGATATTGAATATAGTTCTCTGTGCTATACATAGGGAATTTTTAAATCTTTTTTTTAATATATAGTGGCTAACATTTGCAAACCTCAAACTCCCAAATTTATCCCTTCCCACCCCTTCCCCACCCCCCTCTCCCCGGTAACCATAAGACTTTATTATGTCTGCGAGTCTGTTGATTTGAGTGTATTTTTAAAGCGATTTGCCTTTATATTTTTATCTCCCTGCGTCCAAACCCGCATTCTCTGACGTATAGCTACCTTCAGTCCAGGCGCCGGGCTGAGTTTCTTCACTCCTCAGCAGCTCAGGAAACCGCAATCATAAAAAGCCCCGAGAAACATCCGGGAAAGGGAGGAAGACTACAGCTCCCAGAATGCAGCGCTCCCCCGTCTCTCCGGCTCTCCGGCTGCCCAATGACCGAGCTCCGCGAGCTCCTCTCGTCCCATTGGTCAGCATTCCCGCCAGTGAGGGCGGAGAGGGGAGGGCCTCGGATGCCAAATTTCCCGCCACCGCAAGGTGCTGCTGGGAAAACCCGGAGAAGAAGCAGCTCTCGGTTGGATACTCGCTCTTCTCGCGTTAGGGGATTCAGCCAATCAGAAGTAGATGTTCTCTCAGCTATCCCGCCCCTTCCTTGAGGCTGCTTTTGTTGGCGGGAAAAGCTGGGAAGTTTTCGCGCCCGGGCGGAACAATCCAGCGACACTCCGTGCGGCTCCGGTGGTAAAAGTTCCCGGCCTGCGAGCATGGCGGGGACCGTGGTGCTGGACGATGTGGAGCTGCGAGAGGCGCAGAGAGATTACCTGGACTTTCTGGACGACGAGGTGAGGGAAGCGCTGGGTCGCAAGCCGCGGGGGTCGCGCAAGGGGCCGAGGGCGGCCGCAGAGACGCAGGTCGGCGCCGAGCGGCGTCCGGACCCGGGAGCTGGAGGACCGCGGGGCTCGGGGCCTTACACCCCGACCTTGTAGCTCTCCTCGCGGCAGAGGCAGTGATTAAGAGCGACCCTGTGAGTTTCTCCCGAGTACAAATGGTGGCCAGGCCTCGCAAAAGGCGACAGGTTTCCTTCAAGTGCAAACCCGACTTCCAAGCCCACGGTGACTTTCTAGAGTTTCCTCCCTGCTCTCTAATTTGGAGGGAGGGCGGGAGGAGGACCGTCGGAGGACCGTAGTGACCCACCGCCTTTTAGGGTCCCCAGATTTTAGTGCCTGACTTTCCTACCCAGAGGAAAAGACTTCCTAAGTTGGCCACGTTCTTTTTCAATAGCAAATAGGGTGCAGAGAAAAAGTGTTGGTATGCAAATAAAGGAGTTTTTGTCTGCAGTTCAGTTCTGACAGCCGTAGAATGTTGGTAAAGCATCCTGAAGGATTGGTAATTCTGTGTGAATGTAGCCAAGGCTCCCTCCTTTAGGCCCGGATATGAGAACTCTGCATTATACGGATGATAGGGAAAGAAAATGTTTAATTCCATCAAAATTTCTGCAACGAAAAGTCACTTTAATATAAATATTAAAAGGCCGCTTAATTTACACTTTGATAAGGTTTTTGTTGGTATCCTTGTCCTTTAAGACTTCTTAGGAGCTCGTTTTAATTCCCCATTAAAGGTTGAGAAATGCGTGCACACAGAAGAGCTGTTGGTGATAATAAAAATAACAGCATGGACCTTGAAGGAGCCATTCTAACTTTTCCACCTGCCTCTTAGCTTGTATTTGGAATCTGAGGCTAGCGAGTGAAAATGGGGGAGAAATTGGGGTTCAGTTCTGCCAGAGAGATTGACATATTTCTCTTGCCATGAGAGCTGCCTCTGTTTAAAAACATCTTAGTTTTGAATTTGTGGCTGTTGTGACATCTGGTGATTATTTTGCAGGAAGACCAGGGAATTTATCAGAGCAAAGTTCGGGAGCTGATCAGTGACAACCAGTACCGGCTAATTGTCAACGTGAATGATCTGCGTAGGAAAAATGAGAAGAGGGCTAACCGGTGAGTGGCAAGGGTTTCCAAGGTATTATGCCTTCCAAGGGGAGTGAGAATGGCTCCCCTCTCTTCCCAGGACTGAAGCAGGCTTCTCAGGAGAGGACCTGGAAGCATTTTTGACCTTAAAGCCCTTAGTGCCTCACCTGCTCCTGTGTTTTTTACTTCTTTCCAAAGTAGGTGGTGGACGTTTTCAGTGGCTTCTCTTTCCATGTTTAATCAAGTATCATTTCTCCATCTTTGATAAGTTGAGTTAAAGTTGGCACTCAGTTGTGATGTATTTTACTGAGTCTTGTAGGAGGGCAGGAGAAGGTCAAAGCTAGATTTCTACTCCTAAGCTGTGGTCATCTAAGACTGTCCACTTCTGTTTGGAGGGTCAGCTTTTTTGAGTTCTGCCTTCTCTGCCTAATTTTTTATCTTGCCTGTCTGCAGCCTCCTGAACAATGCCTTTGAGGAGCTGGTTGCCTTCCAGAGGGCCTTAAAGGATTTCGTGGCCTCCATTGACGCTACGTATGCCAAGCAGTATGAGGAGTTCTACATAGGTTTGGAGGGCAGCTTTGGCTCCAAGCACGTCTCTCCCCGAACTCTTACCTCCTGCTTCCTTAGCTGTGTCGTCTGTGTGGAGGGCATTGTCACTAAATGTGAGTGGGCTAGAGTGAAGAGTTCACAGAATGGAGGTGGGATATCCTTGAGGGGCCAGAGGGCAGGAGAGGCCGAGTAGAGCTGGGGAGTAGAGTATGGCTTCAGAAGCAGGAGCATTGAAATTACAGGGTAAAACTTGGAGGAGCTCCAGGGTGCACCATGACTAGGGGGGCTTTGAGTGACCACCGGTGCCCAAAGAATGCTGAAGCCTGCTGAGAATGGAGAAGTCTTGGTCCTCGGCAGTCTCCTGATTCTGACCCTGAACTCCTACTCCTTCTCAGTCAGGATCTGCTGAACTTAAAATATTACGTGGATACAGTGATGTTCTGTGTATAAATATAAAAGTAAAGTAATGACAAGTTGTGTTGAAATAGCATAACTGGTTGGAAGGACACAGTATTTGGAGTCAGCATGAGCTTGCCCAGGTTAGATCCCACCTTCTCACTGTCTCGTTGGATGACTTTATACGCACATTTTCCATTCCTAGGCTCTCTAGTTCGTCCCAAAGTCGTCCGCAGTGTCCACTACTGTCCTGCTACCAAGAAGACCATAGAGCGACGTTATTCTGATCTCACCACCCTGGTGGCCTTTCCGTCCAGCTCTGTCTATCCCACCAAGGTGAGGGGGGTGAACGGAATGAGTCTCTTTAGAGGTTGGACTCTGAGATGTCTGTTTTCATGCAAGTAATTGGGTAATATCTTAAGTCTTTCTTCTAGAGAGAAACAGGGTAAAAAATAAGGATTGGTTTAAAGGAAAGATCGATTGCTAGCCAGAGTTTAATATGGAAACTCTACAATTCTTATGTTTTTTTTTAAAGAATAAGTATTTTATTTAGAAAATCTGGAAAATTATGAGAGTTGAAAGAAGGAAAAAAGTCATCTATGGTGATCTTTTAGTGAAGTTATAATATCATATGATTTTATAATCCGCTTAGAATAATGTGGAAAAATATGTATGCAGTAATGCTACTTTGAAATCTTTGCAAATATTTTACTGCGAGTTTGAGAGAAGGTTGGTATAGAGATGACTTTAGTCTCTGTTCAGATTGATCTAGCTTGAGGACAAGGGGAGGCCTTTTTACTTAATGAGACAAAGGAAGATGATTAGTATTGATAACTTGATGCCTGAACTCCCTCTACCCCTGCCTATCCCTACCTTCAGATTTTAGTTGAGAGTGGCTGTATCCAGAGGATTGTCAGGCATTGGGGAGGACAAAGAAAGGAGAGCCAGTCCTGGTCTTCGGTTGTATCAACTGGTGGAAGAATCTTAACATACAAACAAGACTGAGTTTCTTAGAATTATAACTGAAATACACTTGAGAATCTGTGTATCTCCAGATGAAGTGGGCAGCTGGGTGAGGTTCAATGACTTGCATGTGTTCCAGTTAGTGGTGGCCCCAAGGACTTGGATCTTGTCCTTTTACTCTGAGGCCAGTTTCTAAGTCACCCTGCTCTCTTCTTCACTAAGCTCTCTACTTTTTAGAATTTCTTCAGAAACTACTCAGGGGTGCCCTGCTAATGGCTGTGGCCAAGCGTCTTTGCTCAAGACCTGAAATACACCAGACCAGGTCTCCTGGAGGTTGTCTAGTGTGGCTCTTTAAAGTGCAGGCTTTGGTGTTTACCGTGTGACCATGGGGAACTTTTTAACCTCTCCCAGCCTTGGTTTGCCTTACTTGTAAAATGTCAAAAATACCTGCTTTTGTTCCGAGTTGTTGTGATGATTGCCCAAGATAATCTCGTGAAATTACAGGACACTTCCTTGCGCATAGTAGGCACTCAATAAGTTATAGCTGCCATGTTTTGAGAAAATCAAATGGCAAAGAAGTAAAACTTTAAAATATTTTTATTGGGGCTTAATATACAGAAAAGCTTACATCAGTGTAGAGCTCAGTGAAATCTCACAAGCTGACTATACTGATAAAATTAGCACCCAAACCAGGAAGCAGCATCTTAGGAGCACTTAGAAGTCCCTCTTGAGGACCACACTGCTTTGAAACCTCGACGTCTAGCAGCTTCGAGTACTGTTCTTTGTTTTCATGTTTTATCGAAAAGCTTGTCTGTGTTGGATTTCTTCTGTTCAACGTTTTTGAGATTCAGCCACCTGTGCGGGTGTATTCCATACGTTTTCACTGCTGTGTAGGATTTACTCGTGTGGACGTACCACATTTGAACCATTCTGTTGATGGCATTCAGGTATTTTCCAGCTTTTGGCTATTGGGAATAGTGCTGCTGTGAACATTCTAGTACCTGGCTTTGGGTGAACGTTGCTGTTGGGAATTACCTAGGAGTGGAAATACCGCAGTGTAGTGAAGGGAAGTTAGAATCTTAGTTTGGATGTGAACATAGCCATGGTCCCTTTCAGCTGTAGATTGCCCCTTCCATTAGATGGTCTGTTACTAGAACAGACAGGTATGGAAAATACTGGGGAAGATATTTGGGGTTGTTTGTTCCTGGATACTAATCTCATGAGGTTATCTCCAAGTTACATTTGTTTCCTACAACAAGTGAGAGTGGCATGTCTAAGGCAGGGCTGAGATGACTCTGCCTTCCTGTGTGTCTTTTCCAGGATGAGGAGAACAATCCTCTTGAGACAGAATATGGCCTTTCTGTCTACAAGGACCACCAGATCATCACCATCCAGGAGATGCCAGAGAAGGCCCCCGCCGGCCAGCTTCCCCGCTCCGTGGACGTCATTCTGGACGATGACTTGGTGGATAGAGTGAAGCCTGGTGACCGCGTCCAAGTGGTGGGGACCTACCGCTGCCTGCCTGGAAAGAAGGGAGGCTACACCTCAGGGACCTTCAGGTAGACAGCCAGGCACGAGGCATTGGGAATGTTGCCAGCATGGTGCCTTCCGGTAGCAGTCTTTCTCCAGTTGGCCGCCTTCTCAAGAGTTCCATTAGACAGGTGCAGGGCTCTGCCTGCCTGGGAGGCAGGCTCCCTCTTTTCTGTCAGTTAAAACTGGTGATGCTGCCTTAGGCTAAGAGAGCGGGTTATTGGTAACATGGTTCCAGCCTCCTGGCTTCCCTGGGAGTCACTCATGTATTCCTACCCTCCTTCAGTGCACATGGCAGGAGGTAAATCCTGAGGAGCGGCGTCATCTGCATGTTTTGTGTTGTGTTTGTGGTTGAACTCAGAACAGCTTTTCTTTTTCTGCTTTCCTTTTTGCTGCTTCGCCATTCTGGAAGAGTAGCCTAGGAAGGCTTTGGTGTTAGGCATTGAAAACAGCCTCCTGTCCTCCCCTCTGTCCCAGGACTGTCCTGATCGCCTGCAACGTGAAGCAGATGAGCAAGGACGTTCAGCCTTCATTTTCAGCTGAGGACATAGCCAAGATCAAGAAGTTCAGTAAAACTCGTTCCAAGGTCTGCGTGTCCTTTGGGGATCTGAGGGCGGGGATGGGTTTGTTCGGGTCCTGTTCTCTGAAGTATTAGCGTTAGCTTCTAGTATTGAGCCAGTGAACAAAAGGACGTTTTTGCTGTTTACCTTTAATATTTCTCTAGTGCTAACTGCTAACTGAACCTTATACAAATAGTAGAATAGAAGTTAGGATATCAGTGGGCCAGTGAGTCTCCCGAATACGTTAGTGATGCATCATTACTTAAATTTAAAATATGTTATTTTTAATTTTAGTTCTCTGATTTATTTTGCCTTAAAATTTCTTTTTAAAGACAGAATGTCCACATTTAGAATTGAGCAAAATATATGCATGTGTGACGAAGGTTACTGCTGAAGACTGTACACATTCTTATTAAACCTAAAACATTTTGAGCCAGAGAACACTTTTTTTCTTAGAGCAGATTAAAGCTTCCTCTGTGTCTGTTCAGATAATGGTCTGATCAGCGTGAAAGTCTTAAAAGAAGCTTTTACAATTACAGTGTATTTCATCCAGCAGTTTACACGGGGCGAAGCAGGAAGTGAGTTCCTCAAGCCCCGTGGCGTCTCCTGGTCTTTTCATTCCGCGGTCGTCCCCACCATAGGATATCTTTGACCAGCTGGCCCGGTCGCTGGCGCCAAGCATCCACGGGCATGACTACGTCAAGAAGGCGATCCTCTGCCTGCTCTTGGGGGGTGTGGAACGAGACCTGGAGAATGGCAGCCACATCCGGGGAGACATCAACATCCTTCTGATTGGTATGCAGTCAGGCACTGCTCTAGCCCTGTGGTCTAACCCTGTGCAGGAGTCCATGGTCTGTCAAACTGCACCCGTCCCCGGCCTGCCCTGTTCAGTCCCATCAGAGGGCAGAAGTCTACAATGAATTTTTAAAATTGTTTTTATTCCTTTGGGGTTTCCTGATTTAGGATGCCAAAAATGTATTCTTTCACGAATGGTAAAGGGAAAGTGAAAGAAGTCACATTAACGCCAATGACTATGGATTTCTCTTACGTTAAGAGCTGTTCTAGAAAAGCAGCACCTGCTGGGGGCAGGGGAATGTCCCGGCGTCACCACTGCCCCCGTCCAATTACAGGAGACCCTTCGGTCGCCAAGTCCCAGCTTCTGCGGTACGTGCTTTGCACTGCTCCGAGGGCCATCCCCACCACCGGCCGGGGCTCCTCTGGAGTGGGTCTCACGGCTGCTGTCACCACTGACCAGGAGACAGGTATGGATTCCTGGGTCCTTGGCAAAGGTTTAGCGAGAGATGAGCACGGATTCTTTGAGTTTGCTCCAGGCCCTGGTTGTGTGGGGAAGATACACTTGAGGGGTTAGTTTGGGCCAGACGGGAGGACTGAGTATCTGGCAACAGTAGGTGAATGGTATAAATCTTTGAGTGGCCCTCTGTTGACAAGAATGTCTGCTAGGAGGTGATTTGAAAGAGTTTTGAAGGAGAAAACTTAAATTGGAAGGGAAATAAAAGTGAAGATTGTACTACTTAAACTAGAGGAAAGGATTTGAAGACCAGTGAAAAGAGAACAGAGGTCCAGGTGGGAAATCACTTGAAGGTGAGAATGAAAGGGCACATCTATCTAAAGAAGGTTTGCTGGAGGCTCTCTGTGGCACTGTCACAGTGGGACCAGGAAACCTGTTCAGATTGGAGCTTGAAAAGGTGACCCCTGGGTTTCTTCTGAGTCTCTGATAACAGACACCTCTCCATTCTCATCCTCAAGTGTGGCAGTGTGAGGTACTTAGGAAGGAGCTTGAAGTCTCTCCCCGTCCCCTGCAACCTAACGGTAGCTTGTATTCTCTCCCCGCCTCCCAGGGGAGCGCCGTCTGGAGGCAGGGGCCATGGTCCTGGCTGACCGAGGCGTGGTGTGCATTGATGAGTTTGACAAGATGTCTGACATGGACCGCACGGCCATCCACGAGGTGATGGAGCAGGGCCGAGTCACCATCGCCAAGGCCGGCATCCATGCCCGGCTCAATGCCCGCTGCAGCGTGCTGGCTGCTGCCAACCCCGTCTACGGCAGGGTGAGTGGAGGCGGCACCCGGCTGTTGTCCTCACCTTCATTTGGTTCTGCTGCGTCACTGAGTTTTTTCCAGGTGACCCAGGGGAGTAACAGGCCTCAGGCTAGAGTAAGATCGCCGTCTTATTTCTGTCCTTGGTTTAGGGTGCTGGCTCCTCACCTATTCATGCACGTCAGAAGCCCCTGGAAAGTTGCTTACTTACAGTAACTTTTTAAAAATGCAAAGAAGAAAGCAAAAGTGACCTGTAGTTTCACAGCTCAGGTAACCTGCGTGACACTAAAATAAAAGCACTGCATGCAGATGGTAGGACAGTTTACAGAGCAGAGAGATACAATAGGGAAACGAAGAGCCTGGTTTCTCTCTCCTGCTCCTTCCAGAGAAATAACTACCAACAGCTCATGAGTGTTTCAGGAAACAAAAACTTAAGCGTGCCCTAGTAAGTTAACTCCTTGTTAAGTATTTATTGATCTTTGCTTTTTAGTATGACTATAATGCATTTAGGTGTAATGTTTTATATTTATATGGCTTGGAGTTTGCTGAGTGTAGGGGTTTTTTTTGTTTGTTTTTGTTTTTTTTTTTTTAAGTTTTTTTTAAGTAGCTGTCTAGTATTCCTTTTATAGACTTAACAGTAATTTGTTTAGCCAGCCTCCATTTGATGGGCGTTTGTTTTCCCTTCCCCCTGCTGTTATGAATGAATCTACAATGAACATCCCTTTAGGTGTATTTTATTAAACATTTGGGAATGAATACCTAGCAATGGGATTACTAGATTAACAGTTACATGCATTTTTATTTTGGTAGATTGCCAAGTTGTCCTTCTAAGATTGTACTATTATAATACTATTAACTAATACTTGCAGATGCTTTATACTTATTAACTCCTTTCATCCTCACAATAATCCTGTGAGGTAGATCAGTACTATCCTCATTTGACAGATGAGAAGTTGAAGGCATAAAAGGTTAAGTAACTTGCTCAAGAGTTGCAAGCTAGGTGGAAGGGTATAGCTCAGCGGTAGAGCGTGTGTGCAAGGTCCTGAGTTCAATCCACAGCACCTCCATTAAAAAAAAAAAAAGAGTTGCAAGCTAGAACATGGCAGAGCAGGATTTGGACCCTGTACTTGGACAATTCATGATCCCACAGCATATAGGAATACCTGTTTTGGTGGCGTTTTTAAACATACAGGCGCCTTGTCCCCAGCCCAGAGCTTCTGAATCCAAATCTCTGGGTTGGGGCCCTTGGTAGCCATGGTTTAGGAAGACTCCGTAGGATGGTTCTAACGTGTAGACAGGGTTGAGAAGCATAGGGTTTTAGATTAATGGTAACATGTGTGATGTCATTCTGAAGAATTACACTGGGAAACGTAGGGAGAAAATGGCAGGTCCTGAACGTGAACCTGTCAGGAATGCTGACATTACCTGTGATCCCAGCAGGCCTCTGACTGTGGGTGGGCAGCAGCCACAGAATGCTACAGAATGGAACTGTAAGAGTAGGTGTTCATGAACCCCAGGAAAAATCCCCCTTGAGCCTTAAAACATGATGACTTAGAGATTAGCACCCGTTTTCACTGAGACTTTACCCGGTACCTGCTGAGTAAGGACTCCAGAGGTGCCAAGGGTTTCTGGCTTAGCCGGCTGGTCATATCTTCATAACAGGTAGGGAAGAGGAGCTCCTCTTCTGGAGTCAGTCCTGCCTGGGATGAGAGGAGCAGAATAAAGCTCAGGAAGGAGGAGGCTGGTTCTGAGGCTCAGACTCAGCCTGTTAGAGGCACCAAAGCTGGGTGGGAGGTGGGGCTCTGTTTGCCTGGAAGGAAGGACATGTGCTCTGAGTCAGAGCAGGTCACCTGAGCTTCAATTCGAGAAAGGCTGCACGTCCAATAAATGGATCAGTTTTTTGTAGCTTCAAAGTGCTTTACTTCTTCACTGCTCGTTTGCTTTGTGTTTGAAGGTCTAGTCTTCCATTCTCACCCCCTAACCCATCAGCGGCCCCCGTGTCCTCTTCCCATGCATGTGGCCTCCACTCCTTTTTCCTTGTGTTCCCCCCAGTATGACCAGTACAAGACCCCCATGGAGAACATCGGGCTGCAGGACTCACTGCTGTCCCGCTTCGACCTCCTGTTCATCATGCTGGACAACATGGACCCCGAGCAGGATCGCGAGATCTCGGACCATGTCCTCCGTATGCACCGCTACCGGGCGCCTGGGGAGCAGGATGGCGATGGTGAGGCTGCGAGAAGACGAGGACTGACTGGTGGGAGGGCCCTGGACAAGGCTGTTACCTCGGGCCCAGCCCAGTGGGGTGGGTGTGGAAGGTGCCCTCGCCTCCCTGGCCACTCCTAAGGTGTGTCTTTTGTCCAGTTCTGGGTCTGGGAACACCTTTGAGCATCTTCTGTGGGCCAGGTGATTCCACCTTCTTATTTATGGGCCCCATGTGTCTGCTTCCTTCTGGGTCCTTGCTTTGTAAGTCTTGTCTCTCTTCAGAAGACACAGTTTCCCTCGGGCTAAGCTCTTTCTTAATCTCCTTTCTCTCGACTTGTGCTTTCCAGCTATGCCTTTAGGTAGTTCCGTAGATATCCTGGCTACGGATGACCCCAACTTTAGCCAGGAAGACCAGCAAGACACCCAGATTTACGAGAAGCATGACAACCTTCTGCATGGGACCAAGAAGAAAAAGTGAGCCACATTCTTTAGACCTCCTCCTTGAGGGAATTGGGATCTGTGTCATGTTAGAGCAGACTTAGACCTGCTGCCCCAGCCAAGGTCACACCTGGAGTCACAATGTTGTGGGCCTGTTTTCTGGGTCCACAGATACACCCTTTTTCCTGTACACTTGCCTTGTAGATTTGTATGTTAGTGGGTGATTGAGCCTTGGTTCTGATCTTTTCTAAAATGGAGGGCTTTGACGACATTCATAACTGGTGGCGGGTGTGTCACGGTCCCCACGTACATGGAGTCTTGCGTGGGTCTGTGGCCGTTTGTGGTGAGGTGATGTCGAAGGGGCAGTCGGTGGCCAGCACTGGAGGCTCTGCAGGTGGATGTGGGTAAAGCAGAGTGGTGGTCAGGGGCTCAGCGTGACAGGTGAGCTCCCATTCCTCTGTCTTTGGCCATGCTGCAGTAGGAAGCATGGCATAGTCTCATACCTGTTGGTTTAAGAACATAGAATTTGGAGTCAGAAGATTAAATTTGAGCCCATTTAAGGTTCTCTGAGCCATAGTTTTCCCACTGATAAAGTAGGGCAAATAACATCTAAACTGCCTCCTTCACAAGTGATACCTGCAGAAATAGACAAGTATGTGAGAGGGTCTTGTGCACATTCTTTGTAAACGGGGTTTATGACAGTGGGTTCCAGGCTGTGCTCGGTCACATGACCTTGACTTCCTGGAGGAAAGGCAGAGCCTCCACTCCAAGCCGGTGCTGAGCTGAGGCCAGGAAGTGAAACTGACTGTATGTGGGTCCAGGGAGAAGATGGTGAGCGCTGCTTTCATGAAGAAATATATCCACGTGGCCAAAATCATCAAGCCGGTCCTGACGCAGGAGTCGGGGGCCCACATCGCGGAGGAGTACTCCCGCTTGCGCAGCCAGGACAGCGTGAGCTCCGACACCGCCAGGGTGAGCGCCCCCTGCGGACAGCGACCGAGTCCTGCTCTCCTGGAGCTCCGGAAGTCTTCCGACCTAGCGTTTCTCTACCTTTTTATTCTGGGTCTGAAGGGCTCCCTGTTACACAATTTTAATCCTTTCCTTTTACAAAGGAAAATGCAGTGTAAACCCCAGAGTCACGTATGTCCCAGTAATTCAGATGACCTTGGCCTCCAGAAGCTGTGATTCATTCAGCAAACATACGAGTGACTTCTGGGAACTGGGCGACTCTGTTCTTCCATGCAGTCCTCCCCGGGCTCAGACCTGGGCCTGGGAGGCAGAAAGGTAGATGGGACAGTCATATGTCACATTCATACGGATACACCAGTGTGGTACCCAGGAAGGAATGAGTGTCAAACACGGAGTATAGATGAAGAAGCTGTGAATTTTTCCTTCAGACTTTCCGGAGGCGTATGTGTGTCAGGGAAGGGTTCCCAGAGTGTGATGTTGAGCTGGACTTTGACAGACAGGTGTTTGGCGGCTCTGATCACCCACAGCTGTTTCTATAAATCTGATACACCTGCCCATGAACTTATCTAAATCTTGGGGCAGTGTAGTTTATATGGGATTTCACAGCAGAAAGACCCAGGTCTCAAACCGTCACCGTGTGATAAAGACAAAGACTGCTGGATTCAGACGTGATCCCAGATTGTCTCTTCAGGCTCACACCCAGTCTGGAATTCTGTCTTCTGGAATTCCTGCAGGGACTTCCTTGACGCCTCTGTGGCAGCATGCCTAGTCCATGACTGCTCTGAAATGTCAGAATGTGCTTCTGTTTATTGAGGTTAAACCTGCTTCCCCATAGCTTCTACCCATAGGCTTTAGTTTTGTTTTCTGGAGATTGTACAAGTGTGACTTGTTTTCTTCAGATTAAACAACCTCCTGTCTGTTTTCATTGTTCCTCCCATCATGTGAATGTGTGCCATAGGCCCTCCCACCGAACACAATACCCTGTTTTAGTTGTGGTCTTGGTGGGATGGGTAAATCTCTCATTTGGGTCCTGTAGTTCTGCTCGTGCAGGCAAGGGTTTCACCAGCTTTCATTTATTCAAGAATCAAGGCGATAATGGAATGTATCACCTACAAACTCTGGTAGCTCTCTAAATCACAAAAAAATCTGAATTTACTTAAATATGATTATATTTACTTTTGAATGTCACATTGGATATAAGTCATAATTTGGAACACTAGAGAGCAGACGTGACCAGGTAACATCTCTGAAGCATCAGAGGATGGGAGACCAGGGGTGGGTGTGGGGGCGGTGGGGGGGTGGGAACAAGCAGGCCAAGGCTTCAGTAACGCTTGGACATTGTATGCATCCTGTCGCCTCCCAGGTCGCAGTTTTTCATCCATAAAACAAGAAGGTTGGATAACGTCAGGGATGCTTACCTCGGAGGGCAAAGCAGGATCACCTGAAACGTTAAGAGTGCACACGTTCAGTCCTAACGGACGTTCTGATTGGTTAGACCAGGAATGCCACTCAGACCAAAGCATTTAAAAAAGATGAAAGCTCCCCAGTTTGGGATTCCCCCACCCCAGAGAGAACCACTTGATAAGAACGTTTCAGAATCCTGTTCCTCTGGACTTAGTTGGGTTTACCCAATTCGAGGAAGTCTGTCCTCAGATAACCTCGCCCACACCCCCAGGTGGTGTGACCTTGGACAAACTTGAAGCTCTTACAGGTGCCATTTTTCCTCATCTGTAAAGCCGCTCCGGGGTACTCAGGGGCTGACTGATGGAGCAGACATGGGAGCAGGGCCCTGGCGCGGCCGGCCTGCGGTGGAGGGCTGCTTTTCTTCCTTCGCTGCTGTGCTCTCCTGCTGTCTCTGCCCTGTGCACCTTATCCCCCTCCTCTGGCTTCCCCCGGTCGCGTTTCTGTGGTCATACCTGTTTTTCTGAATCTTATTCTTTCTGCCTCCATGGTGTGGGCTTCTGGGAGCTCTTCTATTGGAGCCTTTCCCTCTCTGTGCGGTGGGCAAGGCGGGAGTTCCAGGCAGGCCGCAGGGACTCTGGAAGAGTAACCCTCCCCGGTGTTCTCCCCCAGACATCTCCAGTGACAGCCCGGACACTGGAGACTCTGATTCGATTGGCCACAGCCCATGCCAAGGCCCGCATGAGCAAGACCGTGGACCTGCAGGATGCAGAGGAGGCAGTGGAGTTGGTCCAGTACGCTTACTTCAAGAAGGTAAGGCCCCAGTGCTGGCTGGGAGTCCTTCTGAATGAACTGAAGGAATGGGGTGAACCGTCGGTGCTCAGGCCTCACGGCCGCCATGCCTCACTCCTGACTGGGGTGGTCTGCAGAAAGCAGCGTCTTTCAACGGGCCTTTTCCTCTGGGACCTGTAGCACCAGCCGTCCTCAGTGCTGGCGCATGGGAGGACCAGCTGGAAGGCTTCGCCAAGGTGCTGCCCCGTCAGCCTACTGCTCTGTTTACTCCTTCCTTTGACTCTTGAAGAAGTAGGTGTTTCCAAAGGATCCACCTTTCTCCTTGGAGGTCTCGTCAGGTGTCCCTCAATTTTGCCTCTCACTGCGTTTCTGTTTTCTGCTATGACACTGTGTGTCATTTTAGACACCAGACCTTGAAGCCTCGACTCCCTTCTCCTCAGCGCTCTCCCCCGACCCCAGTCTGGTGGCTTGTAGCCCTTTGGGGTTCAGTGTGGGTCTAATAAGTTATTCCTGATTTATTCTCTTTGGAGGTCGTCTTAAATTTAAGTTAAATGTGTGATTTATGAAGAAATGAATTGTTTTCCACTTAACCATTATAGACTGGACTTTTTTCCAGTCCTGTATTCAGTGGGCGCTCTTGAGCACCTACTGTGAGAAAGGTGTGGGACGCAGCAGGTGTACAGGTGGGTAGCAGCCGATCCCCTGGTCCTGGGACTCGGGGACGAGAGAGGCCAAGTCCTCAGTCCCAGGGAGTCACTGCTGCTGATGGTTCTTTATTCAGTCCCCTGCATCTGTGACCCTCCCGCCCCCACACTTGGCTTGGTTCTAGGTCCTTGAGAAGGAGAAGAAGCGGAGAAAACGAAGTGAGGATGAATCAGAGTCAGAAGATGAGGCAGAGAAAAGCCAGGAGGACCAAGAGCAGAAGAGGAAGAGGTGGGACGGGGCAGAGAAAGGAGAAGATTCCGGTTAGGGCCGGGAGGCCAGGGAGGGGCAAGGGCTGGGGGTGACGTCACGTTCTTTCGGGAAAGGGTCCTAGACCAGCCCTGTAGAGGGTCTGAGGGTGTCAGTGGCCCGGCAGAGGAGAGGGAAGTGGCCCCCTGTTGTCCTTGGTGGGAGGCCTCTGGCCTCTTTCCTATTAGAGACGTACTGAGTGAGGAGCAGGAGCTATAACCCACGCGGATAGAGGCTGTTGAATCCACATTTCAAAATCTTTCCTCCAGATTAGTTTCCCCTCTCAGGCCTGTGGTTGAGTTTATGGGGCTGGTGATGGGAAAGGTGCGGAGAGGCAGGGCCTGCTTGTGTTCTGGTTAGAGATGTTTGGTCCCTTTGAGAAAAAGCAGCAGTTTGTACAGGCCCAGCCCAGCGTCCCACTGGGACCGTAGATGGTTCTCGTTCTTTTTTCCTACAGTCAGTGGCGCAGGATGGCGCTCACCAAAGGCTGTCTCTTAACTGCTGTGGGTATTTTAGGAGGAAGACCCGTCACTCAGATGCCAAGGATGGAGACTCCTATGACCCCTACGACTTCAGCGACACCGAGGAGGACATGCCTCAGGGTGAGCAAGTGTCCCCTCTTGGTAACGAGGTGCCCCCTGACTCCTGACTCTGGTGCTCCATGTACCACGTTTTCTGGTCGTTTCCCACTTGGGGCCCTGGTCCAGGAGGTTTGACCCAGGAGAGCCCCAGGGAACCCACAGTCACAACTTTGGAAATAAGCTCTGCCCCGTCGTCTGCTTCCTGCTCAGTGAGCTGTGTGCTCTCTGCCAAGCCTGGTGCCAGCATCCCAGGTCCCACAGCCCGAGGGTCCCCTGCCTGACTCGATGCCCCATCCCAGGAACCCCAGGGATGAGCTGCATAGGCTCAGTGAGGATGGAGAGGAGGAGCCGCCGTGTCTGGATGTGCTTCACCTTGTCTCCTGCCCCTCTGCACCCCTTTCCCCTCCAGTGCACACTCCAAAGGCGGCAGACTCACAGGAGACCAAGGAGTCCCAGAAGGTGGAGTTGAGTGACTCCAGGTGAGTCAGGAGCACCTCTCCCGGGAGGGTGCGGAACCAGCTGTCGTCAGTGGAGCTCGGCACCAGGGGCTTGAGGGTGTATGGAAAGTTTCATATTCTGGTGAGAATTCCAAAGTTGAAAAAAGCTGCGAAAACAGTGTAAAGAATGCTTGCGTACTCTTTACTCAGAACCCTCAGTTTGTGTTTTACCATTTTCTTTAGAAATAATTCTGTCTGTGGGGATTTTAACTGAAGTCCTTGTGAGGTCAGGAGGAAGAGTTTCAGAGCAAGGACAGAATTTATGTCTTACTGGAACCTGGGGTTTTTCTCAGTAGGATACTTTTTTCTTACTGAATTGTCATTTGTTTCGAGATTTAAAAAATTTTTACCACTAGAGGTTCAGAAACAGTTTTAGCTCTAAATTTTATGTTTACTGGACACCAGAGGAACTCCGTGACTCAGGTTTCTTTTTTTTCTTTTAATACCTTAAACACACATAATGCAACACATTTAGCAAAGGAAATCTGAACACGCTGAGAAGTATTTAGGAAAAAATGTGAAGCTCAATTGTAATTCCACTTCGAGAGACGACCACTGAACAATTGAACTTTCTGAATCAAGTCGTAGAGCTCCTTCTTCAATGACTGCACTGTTTCCATGGTGTAAATTTTTATTTTGTGTTTTCTATGATGGACGTTTAGCTCTCACAGAACTTCTATTTACAGTAAAGCATTCTTACATTTACCCCGTGCTGTAATGCCAGTATAGCTGTGGCGTTAGTTTCCGGAAGTGGTCTCTCTGGGTCAGAGGATACGCACTTTAAAATTACAGTACGTGTGGCTAACTTGCCTCCCAAAGACGCTGTTCTGTTTGGCATTTCTGTCAACAGCACATGGCCGCCAATTTCCCACATCCTCAAAGGCAGTGGTTTTTAAATGCTGCTCTTTCTCAGGGCGCAGGAAGCGCTGTGATACAACAGCTTGGCTCTAAGGGGGAAGCTTGGGCTTGGAGCGCCCATCGGGGCAGCATGTGTGTGTGACAGTTGGGGGGATGGCTGTGCTGATGAACTCTGTCACTTCTGAGCACGGATCTGGCCTGAGAGCGTTCAGGCCGTTTCCCCCTCCTTCACCTTTCTCTCCCGTTTTGGGCAGGTTGAAAGCCTTCAAGGCGGCCCTCTTGGAGGTGTTCCAGGAAGCTCACGCACAGTCGGTAGGCATGAATCGCCTCACAGAATCCGTCAACCGGGACAGAGAAGAGCCCTTCTCCTCCGTGGAGATCCAGGCTGCGCTGAACAAGATGCAGGATGACAACCAGGTCATGGTCTCCGAGGGCATCGTCTTCCTTATCTGAGCACTCTGGGGTTCAGCCAAGAAAGCTGCTTCCAGCGTCCCCGCCCCTGTCCCCCCATCTTTGCCTTCATCCCCTGAATATCAGTGTTGATTAAACTGAAGTGGAGGACGCATGGCGGAGCTGCGTCAGAACTCAGGAAGCTAGGGGTCGTGAGGCCACCTGGTGTAGAGAAGGTGGGAGGGTGACATCGTGTCTGCCCTGCGGAGGACTGGGTGCTGCTCCCCATGTCCCTCTCAGGCAGGCCACCCATGTTCACTGGAGATGACAGGACTTCTGGGTATTTTGTGGACACAGCTCGGTTCTGTTCATCCTTTCTGTGTTGGCTTTGTTTTCTCCTAAGCGCTCTGGTCTGGAACAGGATCTGTGGTTCTGTGCTGGTGGAAAGAAGCTCTGAGGCAAGTCCTAAGGCCAAGATAGCTTGCTTTGCAGTGAGAGGAATCAAAACTCATGTACTTTTGACCTAAATAGCCAAGATAATGGATAAACTTCTCCATTTTATACTATACACGTGGTCTTCGTGCTGTGATTTTTATGGAGCTGTTTGTGTTTTCCTTGAAAGCTCCGCCCCGCGGGCTGGCCGCCCCGCGTTTGTGCCGAGTCGCCACAAGGGGGCAGCAGGCGGCTGTGCGCTGGTGGGGCGGGCTGGTGGGGGTGGTTAGGCCTTCTCTCCCGGCAGTTTTCTATCATTGCTTCAAACTGCCAACCAAACCTGGCCAACTTGAAATAGCTAAACGGCCACAGGAGGCCAGTAAGTGAAACTCCAGGAGAGTTAACCCTTTGCATGGCTCTTTTGAGCAGGAATCAAAGCCCCTTCATGGAAGAATAACAACATGATCCATCCGACCGTGTGCATTCCTGCCCATGAAGAGACCCCCTCACAGGACCCTGTGTCACCGCTGAGCACCTGGGGTCCAGCCCTGAGGGGTGGTTAGTTTGCACAGAACTCTGTGGCGGGGCCAGGGCGGGGCTTCTCTGCTGCATGGTTTGGGCATCTCCTGAAGAGCTTCAAAGGTTACTAAAAGAAAAAGAAAAAACAAAAACTATGTGACTTAGTGGGGGCACCTGGGTCTCATGGCCTGGCAGCTGCCCTGAGAAGGGGTCGTGCAGGTTCAGAGCTGTTAGGCATTTCCTTCCCCCTTGTAGTGAGAGGAGTCCTTGCCCCGAGGCTGTGAGGCAGAGGATGGGGAGTTCAGTGTCATCTTTGTGGTTGTTTCACAGAAGGGAAATCCAGGTCCTGTTGGCAGTGCTCTGGAGAGTGCGGTCAGGGCAGCGGTCCCAGAGGAGGGACGGGACATCATGCTGTGCCGTGGTGGCGGAGTCCTGCCTTGTGCCAGGTGCAAATAGAGGACTTCATGCTCTTGGGGCCTATGGGCTGGGGAGTATACGTGTAATGTGTCACTGAAAAATGGAAAACCCTATGAACTATATGCCAAGTGAGAGCACACGCAGTAAGAGCTGGAGGAACTGAGGGGCCAGGACAGTGTCGGGGGGGGCTTCCATGGGGTGCTCTAAGAAGAAAGCTGGGGGCTTTTAGGGTCTTCTCAGAGGATCATTCCCAGAAAGGCCCAACACTTGGTCCATAGGACATTTGTCTTCTATCCTTCACGCGCGAAGAAACAGGCCCTGAGTGGGCTTAGGTGCCCCCAGCATTTTGGTAACAGCTGATACCACACTGACCTCCCTGACATCAGCCTATGAGCTAGCCAAAAGGGTGGGTTGGGGGTGGGAGGGTAGAAGGATGTATCCAGTAGTCAAAATAGATGTTAACGATTAAAATAACTTGATTCTTAGAAACTCAGTGAATCTTCACATTCAGTGCCTAAAAACCTGTTTTTTCCCCAACTTATAGCAGCATAAAAAAGTAAGCAGTTAAAGGAAATATTCCCACTCAAGGTCCAGGGAACCCCTCTTCTGCTGCAGGAACCTGAAAGAGGCTGCTGGGCAGTGGCTAACCTGTCTGCAGGCCAGCGTTCCCTGAGGGCATCGCCGTGGCTGCATGGTGCTGACACTGCCATGGTGGCCCAGATTCACCAGGGGAAAAACACAGGCTTCCTTATCCACATGCCTCCTGCTTTAAGAAGAGTCTGCATCCTTTTGGGTTTGCCGCTTGAAAGAGTTCAAAGAGTTCGTGGAGCTTAGGGAAGTCAGCTGTGTCTTGAAAAACTGGATGCTACCTCATTCCTTAACCCTCCTGGATGAACAAAATGCCAGTCTGAAAGGGGAGTTGCCAAATAAGACAACTGGTCAGTGTTTCTGGAATCCAATCCTCAGCCACTTCACCAGATAACTTCACGATGAGCTGCTTGTTGATTCATCTGTCACACGAGCCAATCCCTGCCTGTGCAGAGTGCAGGTGAAACGTCGGTAGAGTAAGGCGTCTTAAGAGCTGTCACTGAAACCACCTGGCTGGTGTTGCTCATTTATCTTGTTTATAATACACAGGTAAATGTGTATAAGATAAAGGGCAAAGGCTAAAAAGTGTTCCAAGTCAAAGGAATCAAAGACTGGTTTCATTTCCCATCCTCATCCGAGAAGAGGCCGAGTGGCTCTGATGTCCTGACTTGAGTGCAGACGTTGCTTAGAAGATGCTGCTGACTCTGCAAGTCTGGTCCTCTGACAGCCCTTCCCCATCCACCGCGCCCTGGGCATCGTGCTTCAGACTTTCTCCAGCCCGTATCTGGGGAGAATTATTTTCCTTCTCTGGGCTCAGAGTCACAGAAGCCCCGGGTTTGCATTGCAGCTCTGTTCCATAATAGCTGTGGCTGTGGACAATTTCCACGCACAATTCCTTAACCCGTGAGATGGACGCTGGGTGGAGTCCTGTCCCCTGTGCTCTCTGCTCTCTGCTTTCCTTCCATTTTCCTTCCGCCTCCCTCCCCTCCTTCCTCTTGATCTCCTCCTCCACCCTCCCCTTCATGCAGCCTTCTATCCCTCACCCTGGCAAAGAGAAGCATCCCTCGTAGGAAACCTTCCATCCTGTTATTCTACAGCGTTTCTAGGAACATGAGGACAACTTGAGATTCGACAGTCATTCTGAGTCAGCTCCTGCGGGAGGGAAAGTGGCACATTTCTCAGAAGTTGGTTGCTTCAGTGCCTTCTCTGGTCCTCCCCTCCATTTAATTCTCTTCTTAACCTGTATTTTCATGGGAAATGTGCAGTCATGACACTTAGAATTTAGAGTAATGCGATCGTTTTCCAGAAAAAAAAACGGAAAAAAATGGAAAATGATAGGTTACTTCCCCACCCCACCAACCCCCATCCATACACAAAAACACTCACATACCTCTACTGCCAAGATTGGGATTATGGATATGACTAATTAAAGTATCCGTTTTTGGGGGGTGGGTTTTTTTTTTTTTTTGGTTTTCATCAGATCCAAAAGTTGGCTGAGACCTTGGAGTTTGTCTAGTCCAAATAGTCCCCTGATGCACCTTTCCTCTCTGGAATGTCACTAGCAGATGTTTATCAAGCTTTAGTGTGACTTTCTGGTGGCTGTCCAATCCCTCTTCCTTTTAAAACCTTTCCAAATACTTGAAGATAATTTCCTGTGCCTGTGTGTTTTCTCTTCTCCAAAATAGCCCCCTTTAGTTAATAATTTTTGATAAGTTATCTATTAGGAACTAAAAGTAATGAAGAAGAGGAAAAACTTTCTCTTCTATCCTCTTGGGTTTGGTTCCTGGGATCCTGCAAATTAAACTGACAACAACAGCTTACCAGAGAAAGGTTTTAATACATGTGCATACAAACGCCTTTGTAGAAATGAAGTGGAGACTCAAAGAAGTGGTTAGACCCTGGGGCTTAGATACGACTTTAACAGAGTCAGATTGTGAAGGAACTAGATGAAGAAGAATTTGGACTTAGAGGAGAAGTAGGTTGTGGGAAGGTAAGTATATGGGGGAAACTAATCAAAGATAAGGATTATTTAGTAGGGTTTATCACGCAGCCTCCAGTTGGTGCCTTTTCCAATGATAAGTTGTCCTCCTCTTTCTAATACGTAAACTTCCTTTATAAATGGGAATTGATATTATCTTTATACAAAAAGAAATTTATACCTGATTTTTAGACAGGAAGGGCGAGGGCAGACAGTTTTTCCTGAGTCGGCTATTTCTCAGTTGCCTCCAGCTTGGAACAATCCTTATGCCAAAGTGGCATCTTTTGTGGTACCATATTCTGGTCCCTTCATTAGTAAAGAAACTGGGTGGAAGAAGAAATGAACTAGTGTCAACATCAAATCAAGTGAAGAGAAGAAACATCCACTGAGCACCAGCCTCGGGCGGTATGTTTGCTGGGGTATGGGCCTCAGAAGTCACAGGTGTCTCCTTTAAGGAGTTTCAGCTCCAGAGAGCAGCCTAGGAACAAACACTTGAGAACATAAGAGGCCGAAGTACTTATAAAGAGCCGTTCAGGTGGACGGTAGAAAAGTCGTCTCTAGTAATTGCTAAGGGTAGGGCCACGAAAGCAAGCCGAGATTCCAGATTGGGGACAGACACAAGCGGCCTTTGGGTCAAAGGAGACGGATTTTGAGGAAGAGGCCAAGAAAGTGAGGAGAGTCTGAATGAGCAGAGAGAACTGAAGCAATCTTTCCAGGAAAAACGACCTGGCGTGGAGAGGCCCAGGGCTCAAAAATACGTGTTTTGCAGAGCAGACGCTGAAAAATGAGTTAATCGCATGTGGAAGTTTTGGGAAGGTGATTTCCTTTAACAAACTAGGTTGGGGCCATGCATTGGGTTTGGGCTCATGTCTAAGGAATTGGTCATCCAACCTGGAGGCAAGAGTGGAGTACAAGGTCTTCCTGGGGTAAGGCCCTCCATTCCAGCTCACCACCCTAGATCTTTGGCTGTCATCAGTATGGTGGCAGGGTTGGGGAAGTCCAGGAACAAACTTGCTGATCCCTGGTTCCTATACAACCTGTGGTAGAAGCAAACAGGAGAGATTTTTAGTGGGAGGAAGCCAGGAACATTCAACAGCGTCTGACAGACACTCACTCGGGCTTTCCCCGGGCACCCTCTCCGGTAGTCTGTTGACTAATTCCATCCACCTCGGCGCAGGAAATTAGCTTGGCTGCTGAGTAAGTGAAAGTCTGCACGAAACCCTGAGTTGCCTGCAGCCCGCCTGTGGGTCCTGTGGGTGGCTGCGCCGGGCCAGCCCAAAGCAGACACGGCTGAATTTCCACTCAGAACAACCTCACCTTCCTCCTCTCTCCATCCCTGCCCTTGTCAAGGAATCTTCCAGAGCACAATAGGTATGGTTCTGAGCTACGAGGGAGTGTGGCTCTGAGATTGAAGGCTCCGCTCTTCTCATCCCCATCCTTTTTCAAGGGTACTTGTCTCAATTTCTCAGTTTCAGGAAATGTAATGCATCTGGTGAGCCCCGCTGCAGTTTTATGGGAAGTCCTACATTTTCTTTAGTGTTCCCTAAAGTAGTGCATCCCAGAATTTCATGTGATAAGAACCATTTAGAAATCTTCCGAAAGACAAAGTCTGATTCAATAGGGTTGGGGTGGGG